AATTGCTGGATCGTATGGTGATTTATGTTTAACTTTTTAAGAAACTCCCAAATCGTTCTCCAAATGGGCTGCTGGGTAGAGACGAGCCCAGAGCAAAAGCAAAGATGGAAGGCCAAGAGACCAGTTGTTAATTGCCATAATTAATTAAATAAACCCACTGGGTTTCGAGGAGAAAGGATTTAGGACTGTCACCGACTTGGCACCAAAGACCCTCGTGTAGGACCCAGGCCAGGAAACCCCTGGCTGCAAACCCGGCCTGCCTGGCCGCAGAAAGTCACGAGGAGGCCTGTTCCCCACCCCCCCACCCCTCCCTCCATGCCGCCCAATCCCCAGACAGCTTCCACGCAGCCAAAGCGTGGAAATCTCCAGTTTGGAGAAAGAATCAGCGTCAGGCATGACTGTTGGAAGCTACAGAGCCCTCTCCCCCCAGGGAGATGACAAATTTTCTTTGCAATTAAAATTCCTTTGAAACTGGGACCAAGGAAAATTCAGAGGAGAGAGCTTTTTTAAACTGGGGGAGATGCTCTTCTCCGCAATTATCGTGTGTGCATTTTCACAAAGCTGTTTCTCCTCCCTCCTTCTGCCAGGGCTCTGCTTCTACTTTCACAGCGGGCCCAGGGCCCCCGCCCCCTTGGCCTTCCAACTTTCCCCTGGCTGGCCCGTGCTTCTCTGCCCACTTTTGGTTGCTGGATCCCTTACACAGGCCTTTACTTAAAGTGCCACTTCCTGTGGGTTCTCCTTTCCTAAACCAATGGCTAATTTGCCGTCAAGCTCCATCTTTGTGCTCATCCCGATCCTATCCTCTACCCCTTGCCATTGTCCCTCCCCATCCCACAGAGATTTCCCACTCCCCGCTCCGCACTCACAGCCCTGCCTCTTTGCACAGCTCATTGAGCTCTGACCACAGTGCTCTGTCAGTATCTTGCCCTGGGAGTGTGACGGGCTAGTGCATTAGCAGAAGCAGGGGTGTTGGAGACCTGGGTCCACTTCACCCGTTCCATCAATACATATTCACTGAGCCATGACAATGTGCCATGCACAGTGCCAAGCCCTAGAGATGAGCAAGTTCTGTGTTTAGAAACAGGAGGCTAGGTTTTTTGGACCAACCCTTCAGCTGAAAAGAGCTAAGAATGCTGGATAAAATAGAAAAAGCATCTTATTAAAGCATCAAAGCGCTGACAAGTAAGCTCTTTGTAAGGAATTACCAGGCATTATTAGGTCAAAACTGAAGGGAAAACAGAAACCCAGAGAAGTTTGAGAGCATAGAATCTGCTTTTGTCCTGAGGGCATTTGCTGATCTCGGAAATTTTGAATTTATTTTTTGATGATCTCACAGCATAAAGGGAACTGAAATCCAAGTCCATGGCCTGCATAAGGTGGGCAATCAAGAAGGAGATCCTTACGGAAACAAGTTGGGACTCCAGAGGGCTTCACCCTTGGGGCAAGGGTGAACTAAATGTAGTCCAGCCTTGAATCACGGATTGGCAGCCTCATCCACACTACTTGGGTATTCCAGGGAACCTCAGCCTTGGATTTTTGTTTAAAGCAATATCAGAATGGTAGCACCACAGCCAAATGCGAATCCTTTTTGGAAGAAAACACCTTCATGCTGAATTTGAAATTCTTCCTCCAAAAAAAAAAAAAAAATCCAATTACAATGGCCAACACACAGTCAAAGATAAACAGACATGCCAGAAAGCAATGCTAATGAGCTAAGCACTAGCGGTATGACATGAGCAAACAAATGATATTCCCTGCCTCGTGGGGCTTACAGTCCAGCAGAATAGACAGACATCAACACCTTACCAAGGCCACTAACACCCTCTGCATTGCCTAGTGGAGTCACTTCTCCGTCCTCAGTCTACCTTGCCTCTCAGCAGCTTTCGACGTGCTGATTTCTCATTCCGCTCTGGGTTTCCATGACACCACGGTCTCTTGGATGGCCTCCAACCTCACTGGCAGGTCTTCTCAGTCTCTGTGCCTCCTTTCCCCTCTATCTCATTTCTGATATTGGAGTGCCCCAGGGCTCGCTTCTGGGCCTGCTTTCTGTCTCTCCCCAAGTGATCTCATTCATCTCCTCAGCATTAAATATCACTACAAACTGATGATCTCAGATTTATGTCCCCTCTCCTTGGAGTCCCAGACTGTTGCATCCAACTGCCTGCTACACATCTCCACTTGAATGTCTCGTGAAAGTCTCAAGCATGCCTAAAAAGGAATTCTTATTTCCTTCCTCAACCTTCCCTCCCCTCATTCACTCCATCAGGGTCAAGTGTTACACCTTCTGGTGCCAAGGCAAAAACCTAAGAGTCATCCTGAACCCCTCGTTTGAATTAGGGTAGTGTTGGAGATGATGCGGGGTGGTCAACCTCAGGAGTTATTTCAGTTGTACCAGTGAACCAGACTTAATGACAGATTGCCCATTGGGGGCACAGGGGTGACAGTTGTCAAGCATGACTTCCAGCCTTCTGGCTTGGACCACCGGACAGAGATAGGTACCATTCATGAGGTGGAGCACCCAGGCAAAGGGCCAGTATTGAGGAATAGCATATATTTGGCTTTTGATATGTTGGGTCTGAGGCGTCTCCGAGGCATCTTGGACAAGTGGACGTGTTGGGAAGCCAACTGTATTTTTATCTACAGGCTTTCAGAAGGGAGGTTGAGCCTACGTTGGGAGTCACCATGGTATTGATGGTAATTGGAGGCACTGGCATGGCTGACATTGTGTAAGCAAAGAGTGAGGAGCCTTCAGGTGGAGTGCAGGGATGTGAACTTGCAAGGGGTGGGGGGAGCACAGGTGTAATTCGAGGGGTGGGAAGAAACCCACTTGTCAAATACTGCTGACAGGTCCAGTACCACGAAGGGTGGAGAGCATCCATTGGATTTTGCAAGACAGAAGCCATTGGCGACCCCTGTGAGCTATCCTAATGCAGCCCTGGGGATGACAGCTAGGTGGAGAGTGGGCTGAGAAGTGAGGAGGGGGTGAGTGAAGGAGACAGTGAGTACGGCCAGCCTTCAGAGAAGTTTGGTTGGTACGGGAAGGGGCTGGGAGGTATTGGGAGGTGTGTGCTTCTCTGTGGTTGCTGCTGTTTTTAAGATGGAATGTACTTGAGCAGGTGTCATGCCAGGAGCCCATCAGAGAGGGGGAAGATAGGGCAGGAGAAGAGAGAATCCACAGTGTGAGGTTTCTCAGATGCAGGGGAGGTATGATTGGGCTCTAGAACCCGGATCAGGGGACCGTGCTCTGCCAGGAGAGAGATTTCCTCCATTGCAAAAGGCAGTCATGATGGAGACAGCTATGTCCCCTCATCTCGAAGATGGGGATAATAACAGTGACAGTCTCAGGGAGTTGGGGTGGGGACTCTGAATGGATGTTTACAACAGGCCCAACCTGGGGAAGCAAAGGCAGGTGGTAAACGCTCTACTAACAGCCGCTATTATTATTATCTTTTTTAAAAAAATTTTGTTTTAATGTTTATTTTTGAGAGAAAGAGACAGAGACACAGAGCACAAGCAGGGGAGGGCAGCGAGGGAGAAAGACACAGAATCCGAAGCAGGCTCTGAGCTGTCAGCACAGAGCCCGACGTGGGGCTCAAACTCATGAACCGTGAGATCATGACCTGAGTTGAAGTCAGACGCTCAACCAACTAAGCCACTCAGGCGCCCCGATTATTATGATCTTTTGCTCTCACGACTCCGAGAGATTTATTATTACTCTTGCAAGTGGATGATAATAATCAAGCCTCACCTGCACTTGACTCTTTCCAGAGGATTTTTTTTTTTCAACGTTTATTTATTTTTGGGATAGAGAGAGACAGAGCATGAACGGGGGAGGGGCAGAGAGAGAGGGAGACACAGAATCGGAAACAGGCTCCAGGCTCTGAGCCATCAGCCCAGAGCCCGACGCGGGGCTCGAACTCACGGACCCGCGAGATCGTGACCTGGCTGAAGTCCGACGCTTAACCGACTGCGCCCCCCAGGCGCCCCCCAGAGGATTTTTATATCCAGCACCCATTCGAGCCTCCCAACAAACCTGGATAGATTTATGTTACCTATTTTACAGAGGAGAACACTGAGGCTCCGAGGGGCAAAGGGACTTGCCTGAGGTCACACGGCTGGTAGCAGCAGAGTCTGGAGTCCAGTCCAGATCCGACCCCTGTGTTCTCTGTAAAGGGGATGCAGATTCTGGGACCTCGGCGCCCCCTTTGCGGCCACTGCAGTGTAGCCTTCCGCGTAGGCCCCGTTTTCTTTTGTACTTGCCGTGTTCCCTGGAGGCGGGGCATCCGTGACTAGAATCTGTAGCTTTAAACTCAGGAAGGAGAGGATTAAAGTCTGAACAAGGTGCCAGGCCCCACTTGCTGTCTGTCCGCAGCCGGAGACGGGAGATTAGGGAAGAAGATGCTGTTTCTGCCGGCTCCATCGCTCGTCAAGAGAGAAAATGAAGTAAGATGCCCCTCAGCCCCGGCATCCGTGCTGCCCATCTGTCACCCCAGACGAGGTCCTGTGCCTAGTCTGGAGGGTGGTTTGGCAGCCCAGGCAGCCCCGGCCTGTGAATGTAGAACCCGTGAGGAATGTTCTGTCCCTATGACCTTTCCCCATCTGTCCCAGGCACAAGTCGTAATGGATGCTCCCACCCAAGTTGAGACCCGGCCCTTCACCAAGGTGCTCAGCCTGGCCGCCCCTTACTTGTCTAGCCTCGTCCTCCTTCCTCCTAGCCCCCACTCCCACACTCTGAATGTTCCTTCCTCCAAGACTCTGCTCAAGCCCCTCCCTCCGCCTCACACGTGGAAGTCCGCTTTCCCCCCTGTTCTATACCGCGACCCCCTACCTATCCCTCCAGGAGCAGTTCAAATGTCACCTGCTGCAGGAAGCCCTCCTTGAGTCTGTTAGATAAGAGCAAGCCTTTATTGAGCACCTACAATGTGCCGGTCCCCGAGTTAGGCTCTGGGAGTTAGAGATGCATCAGATCCTGGCCTGGCCTCCAGGAGGAAGAAGTGACGATGCTGAAGGTCCCTGGGGACGTGGACGGGAAGCTGCAGAAGTGGAAAGTGACAAGCCCAACAGGGGCAGGGGGAGTGTTGGCTTTAGGCTTCAGGCCCAAGAACGCAAGTGACAGGCAGTGTCCCTGGCAAATTAACCATCCTTACTTCTCGCTGGCATGTTGGCTCTTCTGGGCACCCGTGTCTGCTCTTGCCCTCACCAACAAGCCACGTGGTGTGGGGAGGGGCAGCACGGAGCAAGGGAAGCACGTGGTTAGGGGCGTAGCTCTGACGTCAGACCGGCTTTGTGACATCAGGAGAGTCACCTGACTTCTCCATACTTCATCCCTCTGCAAAATGGCACTAGAATAGTATCTGCCTCATAGCGTTGTTAAGAATTAAGTGGATTATACACGTGAGATGCTTAGAACGGGGGGATCAAGCACGCAGTGGATGTTAGCTATTTCATTACGGCTTGTTATTTTCATGGGCAGAAGATCTGGGCCCACCGGCTCCCCCTGCACACTAGGAAAATTCATCCCCTCCCTGAGCCTGTCTCCATCGGGAAAATGAGGCAGCAGTGATTTCCAGCTCTGATATTCTGGGATAAGGATGAAGGGAGGTAGCGATTGTAAGGTGGAGGCGGGGGGAGGGGAGTATAAGAACAGACCCAGGAGCAGAGCTGAGCGCTGAGCAGGTAGGGGAGATCCCGAGGCAGCCTGCAGTGTTGGTGACCCACAAAAGAGAAGTTAGCAGAAGGGAGTTAGCAGCCGGATCACGAAGGACCTTAAATGCCAAAACAATGCTTCTGAGAGGTGACAGGGCTTGATCAATTATTTGGAGACTGTGTCTAGTCATTAGGGAGATAATGGGCCCTCCGGAGAGGCAGTGATCTCCCCATCCCTGGGGGCGGATATGGGCAGGGGCGGAGATCTAAGAGAGAATCAGACATCAGATGAGGGAGCCAAGGTCTTAGAGGGCCTGAAACCCCCTGAGAGACTCTATATCCCTCCAAGAACAGCAGTTGGGGGAAGAGGCAGTGGCCACAGCGCTTAAGTGCCCCAGGCCTGGCACTGCCTTGGCATGCTTCTTTGGAATGTGACCTTGGCATTTGACCTCACGCTCGTTGGCCCCAGTTTGCCCATCTATAAAATGGGGGTGATGACAGGGTCTGCATCACGGGCAGTGTGAGAGCAGTCGATGCGACGGCATCGATGTTCCTGTTATTGTTGGGGTTACTGTGATCTCTCTGCCTCGGCTTCCAGAAGCCCCTTCCGCCGTCTTGGCCTCTCTCTCCTCTCCCCTCCATCCTAGGAGGAAGCGGCCGCACTGGAGTCTGGGGCTGACGAGGCTCCAGCCTGAAGCCTCCCTAAGGAGCCTGCCATGGTTACCAGCTGCCTGCAAGGAGAGGCCATAAATCCTGCGCCCGGGGTGGCGGGAGGGAGGGACCTACGTGTGGGGCAGGAAGGGGGGCAGCTAAGTGGAATTGAATCTTGTTTAAGGAGGAGGCCCACGCCTCCCCGGGCCTGTAATTTACTGCGAGGTTGACAAGATGAAAGCGGAATTTTCAGTGGCATAATCGCTGGGACCTCGGGGAAGCACGGGAGATGAGCCGCAAGGCAGGTGGCAGCGGCCTGGCTTTAAGCGAGATCTAGGGCGCTGATCCCGCTGTGAACACAGCAGGCGGTGGAGCCGGGGCACCGGGGCTCAGAGCCGGGCCAGGGCCCGGCTGGCTAAGCCAAGGGCTCAGGCCACATCGAGTCTGCTGTCATCTCCGGAGCTGAGGCCCGGCCCTGGGTTTTTCAGCAGATTTTATGTAGCAGAACGGACCGCCCAGGACGGCTGTGACAGCAGCTACTGACTGCCCAAGCCAAAGGGAGCTGTCTCGCTCAAGGTCACGCCCTCTGGAGGGGTGGGCAACCTACTTCCGATGTCTGGCAGATGCACGGATTGGGAGGCTGGCTTCTTTCCTCAACTGGGAGCACTGCAGCTCCAGAGTGCCTGCGGATCGGCTGAGATCCCTTCTGGGACAGCATCCGGGTTCACCTTCTCCTCACCCCTTCCGCGGTGTTCCTCACGACCCTCCCCCCAGGAAACCTCTCCCCTGGAGCCTGTCTCCAGGGAGGCAGACCTGAGGCTTTCCATCACCGGGAGGCTTGTTTTAAAGCAGCGACTGTGTGTAGTGTTGGGATAGGGTCACAGAGACTTCTTTTCCAGATGGGGAGACCCAGAGAAGGAAGAAACCTACCTAAGAGCTATGGCGTTAGGGGCAGAAGCTGGGATGCCAGACTCCCAGCCCATGAGTCCAACACCTCCATTTTACAGCTGGGAAGACTGAGGCCCAGAAAGCTGGGGGGGGGGTGTGACTCAGCATCTGTTCGGTGCAGGGGAGAGGGGGTAACGGAAGCAGTGTCCTAGGGTAAAAGCCCACGAGACCCTTAGCCACGTGGTCTAGAGCACACGACCTCTTCTTGGTGCCTCTGTTTTTTCATCAGTAACTGGAGAGGCGAAAGCCCATCTCGGGAGGCTGGTGTGGGGGTGGCCTAAGATATTAACCATAAGAGCTCATACTGGTTGGGGGTGTGGGCGGGGGCGGGGGCCTTCACACACATCTCGATGACACACTACCAAGATACGTTGTTCACAGTAGGTGCACGGGGCTTGATCTCCGTTCGCCGCTTCTGACCACCTGGTCCGGGGCTCCCAGGTCAGCCTCAGAGTCTGCTGGGGAGCTAGCCCAGACCGAGGACAGGCTCAGACTTTCCTCGTCCAGGCCCCGGCTTCCCCACTTCCTGGCTGTAGCCCACAGCAAGTTCCTTCTCCTCTCTGCACCCAGCTTCTTCATCTGTAAAACAAGGTAACTCACGTAAAGTACTTAGCACACCGGCCAATAAGCACGGCTTCTTTATTTTTAGCTCATCAAATATACAAGTCCTGGCACACAGAAAGCACCCTATAAATGTTGCCTCTTGGTATTATGATCATCGTTACTGAATCAGACGCTCCGGGGACCCAAGGATGTGCATCTTGAACAAGTCCCCCTTGTAACACTGCCAGCACAGCCCTGGCCCTCTGAGGGCTCCTGGAAATCACAGTTTGACCTTTCATTGTAAAGAAGCCCAGAGAGGGTGAGGACTTGCCCAAGGTCACCCAGCGTGGGGGGATCAAAGCCAAGCTCCAACCTAGTCCACTTGCCTTCCAGTCTAGAGAGCTTTCCCCCGTACTGCAAAGGGACAGATTCCTTAATGTCATCTGTTCGGGTTGCAATAAAAATTAACTACCCTGAATATGTCATCATCAGAGCAGCTCCAAGACAGAGAAGGGACTAAGGGAGACAAATGAAATGTGTCAGATATGCTCTTGGGGTGTGGAAGCGGGCTTTGTGGTGACTTTTTGGAAGGCTGCCCCATAGTCGGCTGGTCTCCTCTGCTGGTGGGGAGGTGAGATTCACCGTTAGACACGGGATGGGTGCTGCCTGAGACTTTAAGTGAGCAGAGCTGAGGGTGGGGCTTGGCCCTTGTCCGGCCCGGGTTCTTTCCCACCGCCACCCCCACCCCACCCCCCCATCCTTTGTGCCTCCTACTGATGGCGGTGGGGCCCCTTGGGACTACCTCAGTTCTTTTTTTTTTTTTTAATGTTTATTTATTTTTGAGAGAGAGAGAGAGAGAGAGAGAGAGAGAGAGTATGAGCAGGGGAGGGGCAGAGAGAGAGGGAGACACAATCTGAAGCAGGCTCCAGGCTCTGAGCTGTCAGCACAGAGCCCGACGTGAGGCTCGAACTCATGACCCATGAGATTATGACCTGAGCTGAAGTTGGCCGCCTAACTGAGCCACCCAGGCACCCGGGGACCACCTCAATTCTCAGCCTGGACAGAGCATCGTGTTTTACTATCTGGGTGGGAGCAAGATGGGAGTCCTCCTCTTCCAAGGTTGCCAGCATAGCAGCTGGATACACAAGGGCAGGGGCCCTGCTGTGGACCCCAGTCGCTGCCCCGGGGTTCCCCTGCAACCAATAAGCTGTCATAGGCTCAGGTCTAGGGGACCCTCCCTCTGGCTGGAGCCCATAGTCCAGGAACTGGGTGGGGGCAGGGAGACACCCAGAGGGGGCACCTGCTGGGATGAGGTGTGTGTGATGTGAGCAGGTACGGCAGAGAGACCATCAAGGAGGTGGAACAGGGGAGAAGGAGGTGGAAGGGGAGGAAGATACTGACTGGAAGAAGAGCAGGAGAAAAGGGGAAAGAAAGGAAAGGGGAGCGTGGCCAGAGCGGAGACGGAAATTGTGGTACATCCACGCGGGGGAGTACTACACGGCAGTGAAAAGGCACGCGCACAAGCACAAAGACAAATCTCAAAAACAAAGCGCCGAGAGAAAGGAGCAAAATGCAAAAAAAAAAAAAAGGGGGGGGGGGAGTATGATTCCATCCACATGAAGCTCAGGCACAGGCAGAACTAAAATGAGATGTTAAGAGTGCATAATCAGGTGATGGGCTATAAAGAGAGGCAAGGAGCCGGTTGTCGTAAAAGCCAGGACGGAGGGAAGCCTTGGGCTCCTGTCACAGCAGGGGGACCACTTTCAGTGTTTGGATCGACGGGTGGATCCACGACGGGCGGTTCATTTTCCACGACTGACCACCGCGCTGAGCACTTCAACCTGCGTTACTTTGTTTAATCACTCGTTCAACTCTGCATTTATGGTCTGCGCACTTTTCGGGTAGCGATGTTGAGTTTCACGATTTTGACTGCGCACGAAAAGCTGAGAAAGAGGAGGAGGGAGAGGGGAGGAGAGGATGGACGAGGCGGCTCGAGCGTGAGAGGGAGAAGGGGTTCCCGGGGCCATGCTTGGCTGGTACCACAGCGTGCCCTGTCCCCCATCCGGCCGCCTTTGTAAAATGGAATAAATATTGACACGGCCAGGATGGTATTCAATTTGTCCTGATCACTGGGCTGCGGTGAGTTCTGACAGGGCGCGGTGTAAAACAGCGGCTCGGGATGTAATTTCTACTGTCAACATGATGTACAGCGGACTTTGCCTGCGGCACCAGCAGGCGGGCAGGGTGGGGGCAGGGCAGA